CTAGCAGTGAGAATGTTTGTGACTGCAGATTCTACCTTCCCACCAAGCACCAGGAAACAAATTTGGGGACCATTTGGCTTTGCTGTCTACAGAGCACACAGGACATTTGGGACACCAGTAACATAATTAAAGTTCACAATCAGAAAGGCCTTTTAGTCATGGGCCTTAGTTAATGAACAAGTCCAGATTCCAGGAAGCTGCTTTAGGCTTCAACCTTCCGTTTTAGCATTCCCACAATAGGGGTTATTAAACCATCTGATTCTGCTTTTCAAAAGCAACCAATATCTCAAAACAAAGCCCAATTCCAATCCAATGACCCAGTTCTTAAAGTATAGGGGCATTTTGTGTTTCTGAAGTCCTCTATCTGTCACTATAACAGCATTACGTAGAGCAGTATGACATGTACAAACAGGCTTTTGCGAACAGATGCTCTACCCCTGAGCTATCCCCTCATAAGCAAGCTTTTGGCAATTAATATCAAGGACACAGCACTGACAACCCTTGTCTCTGAAATTGATGGTGAGGAAATTCTGTTTGGCACCATTTCATAGTGATGGAGTATCTCCTCTTGCAGATTATTAGGCAGGGGTCAATTCAGGGGCAGAGCTTCAGCATGTCAATCAACTTAAACTCTGAAACTGTCAAAGCACTTTATGTGCCATCTTAGGAACTGTGGGAGACACAGTTTCAGATAGTTCTGAAGCCATATTCTGAAGTGTGTAGAGAAGGAGAGATCTTATAAGAGCAAACATTACACAATGGTAAAAAAAAACTGTAGAAATTTATATTAGAGTTGAGAACAGGGACTGTGTATCGGGGTTAGGTGACTGACAGAAGCAGAAGGAAACAATGCCTATTCTTGGTTTTAAAAAGTCCATTAAAAAAGGGCCCCATGGCCTCTTGAAATGTATCTTGAGTGTCTAGGCACAATGTAATTATCTGTTTCAGATGTTGCAAAGGGTTGGAGGTGGCAGAGTTCACATACTTAGGCTGTGCCTTGAGTCATATAGATTAAGCTTCCCTCCCTAGAGCCTTCCAACTGTGCTTCACAACGTTCAGCTGAGCTTCAGAATGTTCACCATTCAGAATGAGCTTCTCAATGTTTCATCTGATTTTCCTTTTGCTATCTTAGGCCTCACTCCTCTCCCAGGTCTAACACTCCACATCTTATCTCCCCCCACTTTCCTTCTCCCTTTCTCCCCTCCCCTCCCCTCCCCTCTTCTCCTCCCCTTCCCTTCCATTCCCTTCCCTTCCCTTCTTCTTTTCTCTTCTCTTTTGTCTTTTGGGGACAAGTTCTCACTATGTAGCTAGTTGCTGACCTGGAATTCACTATGTATTAAGGCTGGTCTGGAACATGCAGCTAACCACCTGCCTCAGTACACACACACACACACACACACACACACACACACACACACACAAAATCACAAAGTTCACAAAGAATAGGCCCAGCTATTTTATCTCAAATCCACAGTACCAGTGCTTTCTACAACACCATAGACACTCAGTGTCTCTAAGTTGAATGTCCCTCTCTGTCTAGCTTCAGAAACTCCTGCCACGACCCAGCTCCTTCCACACACAGATATGGAATGGTGTGCCTTTATTTAGGGGTCAGATCTAGATTTAATTCTGAATCTGCCATTTACTAAAACACGAATTCAGGCAAACCATATTTCTGAGTGTCTGAGTCTGTGTGTGCAGTGATAACACTGCAGTTTCTCAGTGAACACACACACACACACACACACACACACACGAGAAGAACAAGGACCTCTCAGCTGGTGGTCAGAATGTGATATTTCTCATAGAACCTAAAGCAATGTTTCTAATAGGACCTGACTCTTTCCAGAGGACATATGATGTCCCCTCTTCCAATCTGCAATTGCTAAGCTGCTTCTGCCTCAGGACAGCTCCGAATCCACAGCTGACACCATGTCCTCTGGCCTCTCCTTGTGCCCGGGAAGCACAAGCACAGGTCCTGAACAAAGGCCCCTTCTCCTTCCTCTACTGCCAAGATGCAACTCTTTCTTCCTTTGGGCAGTCCCACTTGCTAACTGTATGTGTGTTCCTAGTGGTCTTTTTCTGATGGATTTTATAAGAATGACTGGGCTTGAAGCATTTCCTCCCCATGAGGCCAATTCATAGTGGAATACTATACAGCCAAGCACAACATATTTCAGTCAGTGAGAATGTAACTGAGTACAATATACTAGGGCAATACTGCTTATGTAAAGGGGAAAAAGATATGAATTCCCTGATCTCTACATGTTTATAGTCTAGGAAGAATGACCACATAAGAATACAAATAACTAAGACATGAAGAAAAAATGTGGCATCAGAAGTTTGAAGTGTTGTAGAGAGATACTATATACATGCCTTCCATGAGAATATAGGGATAAAGTAGGTCTGTATGTTGCTTCCAGATGATTACAATGCCTGATCTGTGTTAGCTTAGTTTGAGTATGACATTTGCATAATGAAATTGCCAAATGTTGGCATTTTTCAGAACATATCTCCTTATGACTACCACAAAAGTTCTGTGGCATATGCAGATAATCCTTGATGATAAATATAAATAGTAACGCACCATTGGGGTGCTCACGTGGGAACAAGGAGCAGATGGCAAACATGAGAAGAAACACCAAATTCATACCTGGAGGAAAAGGAACTGAAGAGGAAAGGACAGGAAATTAAGGACAGAGGAAACAACTTTATCTGTAATTGTTTCTTTTTCTTTTGCTGTTGTTATTTTGGGGCAGGGTCTCTCTGTAGCCTCAGCTCAGCCTGGTCTTGAATTCACAGAGACCTATGCCTACCTCCCAAGTGCTGGGATTGAAGGCATGCATCACCATTCTTGGCTTATTTTTCTTATTTTTAAATGTAGCTTGGAGCAGCTATAAATATTTGGAGTGGTACCCTTAGGTGCTTATACTAGTTTCTGTATTTTATATTTTTTCCAACATTAATACTTGAAGCTATTTATTAAAAATTAAATAGTGTTCAGATGATTTTGAAATACCTACTGTGTGCTTGAAAGTGTTCTAGGATTGGGGATACTCAGGAAGTTGCTTTCTCTTAAAAAACTTAGCTTTTGCTTTCAGCTTGACCACTAAGTATAGGACTGGTCGCCTAGCATTCTCACAAAGGCAGCCTCTACACTGCTGTCCACTGCTGTAAACTTCTTCATTCAAGAGCTGTAGGTGAAGGGCTGACCTAAGAATGTATCTCAAATAAGTCATTTACACCTCTGCCTACACCCCACGCTATTTAGGATAACAGATTTTCTTCGTGGGATTTCAAATTTGTAAAAGAATCTGGAATATTTTTTAAAGAATATTTTTGACAATTTCATATATACATGCAAAGTCTCTTGATCATATCCACCCGGACTCCCCCCTCTGACTTTCCAGGACACTCCTCCAACATGTCCCCCTCCCACCTTCACGCCCTCCTCTTTTTTCATAGAACCCACTGAGTCCAGTTAGTGCTGCCAGCATACACATGGTGTGTGGCCACCCACAGGAGCATGAGAAACCCACCAGTGGCCACACCCCAGAAGATAAATGACTCCCCTTTCCCCAGCAGCCATCAACTGACAATAGCTCCTCAGCCTGTGTAGAGCCTCATGAGCCTCCGCCCTTCTCTGTCTATGTTGGAATGTTGACTAGCTTGATCTGGTTCAGGTCTTGTGCAGGTAACCATAGCTGCTGTGAGTTATGTCCAGAAGACAGCATTTCACAGCACACCTTCCCAATCATACATTCATTCTGCCCCCTGCACTATGATACTCCCTCAGCCTTGTGTGGGGTTGATATATATTCCACTTAGGGCTAAGCACTCAACATTCACTTCTCAGCACTTTGACCAGTTATGCGTTTCTGCTTTAACTGCTGCCAACTGCAAAAAGCAGCTTCTTTGACTAAGGTTGAAAACAGCACTAATCTATAAGTATAAACATAAATATTTAGAAGATGACGTTTGGCTACATGTCCAAATTAAAACAACAGTAGTAGTTTCCCCATTGGGCCCATGGCCTCCCTAGACAGGACTTTTGACCAGGTTTAGGGCACTAGGCATTAATTCCCTCCTGTGGAGCAGGCCTCAAAAGAAACTAAAGAGCAGCTGGTTAGCCCCAAAACAACCATGCATAAAAACCATTATTGCATTAGTGCCTGGCAAGTCAGTATTTTTAGCATGCATGGGTAAATCCATTGATGACTTTACTTCCCCAGTAACCTGCATTGGCACTGGTGCAGCAGTAGCACCATGAAAGCTAGCCACCAGCAGGGAAGTTTTCAGTGTCAGCTTGATTTTTCTATGGCCCGCAACCAAGGTATGTTGTGTCTTCAGCAACAGGGTATTAACATCCAGTTATAGTGGACAACCAAGAACAACAATAGCATGGGGGCGGGGGGGGGTCGTCTGGGGCCTCCTTGACAAATGACATGTAGGGAGAGTAGTATCACACACCTAACACTGAGATCTTTATTTAATCACCCATGTCATCTGGGGCAAGCAATGCCTATCCATATAGGATACCTCTAGTCAAACTCTTTATTTTTATTTATTTGTTATTTATTTATTGTGATCTAGATTTTTTTTTTTTAACATGGGAGAGGGTTGAAAAGTATGTCTTAGTTCTTGTCTATCTGACTGGGTCGATTTTTGCACACCTGAAGCGGAGAGAGAGGAGAGGGGGAGGGAGAGAGTAAGAGAGTGAGAGAGTGAGAGAATGGAGAGGGAGAGGAGAAAGGAGAGGAAGACGGGTAAGGGGAGGAGGAGAGGACAGAGGGGAGAGGGAAGAGCGGGAGAGAGAGAAGAGAGAGGAGAGAGAGAGAAAGACAGAGAGAGGGGAGGACGGAGAGAGAGGAGAGGAAGCCTACAGACATAGAGAAGTGGCCTGTGACAGTGGCCCTTTTATTCCTTAAGAACTCTCCAGCCAGCACTTCCCAGGCCCCACTTTGGTCTTGGCCCCGCCCACGTCGTGACGCAGAAGCCGCGCGCCGCTGGGCAAGTTCGCGCCTTCGGCGATGGGGCCGGGCTGGTGGTCGGTTCGGTGCTTGTGGCGATTGCTGGAGCGCAAGGCGGTCTCCCCACTAGCAGGTCCCGCGGGGGCCCCGAGGCCTAGGCTTCCTTGGCTGTCGGAGGGGCGGCGTCCGACGAGGTGCGTGGTCTGCCTGAGCCCGAGCGGGGCACGCGGCCTGCACCATGGGCCTCAGCTGGAGGAGCGGGCGCCGGGCGCCGTAGGACCGCAGCCTGGCACCGGAGGTACTCGCGGACCGCGGCCGAGGCCGCCAGCAGCTGGGCTTGACCGGGAGGCCTGGCCTTCCCTATGCGCGTCTGTAATGAGCTCCAGAACTGCTGACCCAGAGCTAGAAGGGACTTGGGGGGGTTGTTGGCGCCAACCTTCCTACTTAATAGCGGTCGGTGGTGGCTGGCCACACCGACCCTGGGCATCCTACCACCCGGTCCTCACCGAGTCACGATCTACCCAGGGTCATAGGAAATAGATTTGTTGGGCGTGTGAGGCCTGAGGATCTGGCCAGGGGTTATGTAAAAAGAGCTAACAGGAGTCGGGTCCCAGTGGAGATACTTTAATTATTGTAAAGTTTTTAGAAACGAGAAATGGTAAAAAGATCATACCTGAGAAATTATAGAATACAAAAGGATAATCTTTTGATTGCCTTAGCATCTGGGTCCTTTGAAGTCAGCGTTTGAAGTGTTACGGATTTACATGCTAATGCTCGAGGTTTTAGAACAGTATCTAAATCTGTAGCTGAAAAATGTTCATAATAGTTTTTCATCCACGTTGCTTTATAAGAAAAACATGGTTCAAATGAGAATCCCTTAAAATTTCAGCTCTTAATTTCTCTTAGGCAGCGCTAGTTTTGGTAGCCCTGTTCATCTCACACCAGGTGTGGACTTGATGTGGCAGAATATCACCCTCTCCGCAAACCCTGCTGCTGCTTTCTTTCTACAGCATTTTAGCATTTGAGGTATAGTGCTCATTTCAACATTAGTGAGAAATAGGAAGTCATTTGCTTACTGTTGGTGGTTCGTTTGGTAATAGCAAAGGATGTATAGTGGATCTATGTAATCTGAACAGCTGAACAATGCTTTATAAAACTACTGCCCAGGTTCAATTTCCAGCTTTTTTTTTTTTTTTTTTTTTTAAGTAGGAGTGATATTGGGGCCTGGACCTAGGACTTTGTACATACTAGGCAAGCATTCCACCACTGGGCTACACCCTCAGGCTTTTAACATTTTTTAAATTCAGAGACTTTGTCTAAATTGCTTAGGCTAGTCTTGAACTTGGGCCCCTCCTTCCTGGTGTTTGCCAAAGCATCTTGGACATAAACACCCTCATGGAAGAACAGTTTCACTGTTTCCTGGGAGACATGGACAGCTTCTCTAGATACATATAGGTCTGTCTTCTGCTCAGCCATCTGACACAAATATTTGTGCATTTCAGATCACACTGGTGCCAAGTTTGACATCGATCTGCTGGTTTCACTTCTGAGGCAAGAAAATGCAAGAGATATTTGTGTGATCAAGGTTCCACCAGAAATGAGATACACAGATTACTTTGTCATTGGTAGTGGAACTTCTACCCGACACTTACACGCCATGGCCTACTACACTGTGAAAATGGTTGGATGCTTTTTTTTGTTTTGAACCTTTACCAGGAGACTAATCAATGCACCAGGGTGGGGAGCAACACTTAGGATAAACCATCATCCTATGAGAGATTACATAGGGAGCCCAAATTTTCAGAATTTCCAAGAGTATATTTTATGTTCTTTGGTGAAAGGTTGCTAACAAGTATTTAGCTTTGTTGAGTCCAGCTATTTCTAAGTCTTGTGTTATGTGACCACAAGGAAAAATAAAAATAAAAAAATAGCCTGCAGCAAGCCAGAAGGCAGTATCAGGATTTCTGGTAGTCTCTAGTCACAAGTGGCTATTTAAAGAATTTTTTTTTTTATTGTTTTTACACTGGGTGGTGGCTCACACTTTTAATCCCAGCACTTGAAAGGCAGAGGTAGGCAGATCTCTGTAAGTTCAAGGCCAGCCTGATCTACATAGCCAGTTCTAGGCCAGGTGGGGCTACAGGGAGACCCTGGCTCAAAAAAACCAACAAACAGAAACTGTCCTAGTTTGTTTCTCCATTGCTGTGACAAAACACTCTGACCAATACCAACTTGGGGAGGAAAAAGTTTATTTAGCTTAAATCTCTCGGGTCACAGTTCATCCAGAAGTCCAAGGTAGGAACTCAGGGCAAAAACCTGGAGGCAGAAGCTGGAGCACAGGCCATGGAGAAACACTGCTTACTGGCTTGCTCCCCTGGCCCCTGCTCAACCTGCTTTCTTATGCAGCACAGGCCCACCTGCCCAGGGATGGCACCACCCACAGTGGGCTGGGCCCTCCCACATTACTCCACAATCAAGAAGGTGCCCCATGGACATGGACATAGGCCAATCCAATGAAAGCAATTCCCCAGTTGAGGCTCCCTCAATTCAGGTGTGTCAAGTTGACACTAAAGCTATCCAGCACAGTGTCCAAGGAAGGCAGTTAAGACCAGAATGGCTGGAGTTGCCTAGAGAAGGACTGTAAAATAAAGTCTTAAGTGCAGACCTGATGTTAGAGCAGAGCAAGGTTATTAAAAAGTAACCAGAAGGCTAGGTGTGGTCCCTAGTGGGCATATGCCTATACTAGGGATGCAAAAGCAGGCGATCTCTGAGTTTTTGGCCAGCCTGGTCTATGTAGTGAGTTCTAGGATAGCCAGGCCTACATAGTAAGACCCTGCCTCAAAAAAAAAAAAAAATATATATTTTTTTTTTAAAGTTTTGTTTGGCATTTGAGAACTGGAGCCTGGAGAATCAGGAATTCAAGGTCATCTTGAGCTCTACAGTTGGATGCCAGCTTGAGCTACATGAGAAGCTTTCTTGAAAAGCAACACACACAAAAAGTTTTTCTGTCATTTGTAGTAAAATATGTATAATTTAGGACCTAACAATTTTAACCTTTGTTTTGGTCTATTTTATTTTTTAATTTTTTGGTCTTTTTTGAGACAGGCTCTCCCTATACCCCAGCTGGCCTGCAACTTGCTTTGTAGACCATGCTGGCCTCATTCTCAGAGAGATCCACCTGCCTCGATAGTTGAGTTTCCAGGTTTCTAATTACTCCATATCCTAGCCAAAACTTTATAATTTTTGATAGTAGTCATCCTCATGGTGTGGTTTGGACTTGCATTTTGTATTGCATTTGTTAGTGATGCAACAACCACTATTTTTGTTGGCCATATGTATATATATTCTTTGGAGGAGTGTCTCTTCATGTACAAATTCACTCATTTTTAAAATCAGTTTTTTGTTGCGTTATGAGTTGTTTTCTGGATATTAATTCCTGATCAAATAAGGTGGTTTGCAATTTCTGGCCTTTTTTGTGGGTTACCATTTTACTTTGTTAGTGGTGTCCTTAGATGTATTGTGGTGCTGAGGTTCAAACCCAGGGTCTGGAACATGCCAGGCAAGCATTCTATCACTAAGATATATAACCTTAGAAGTATGTAATTCTGATGAGCAGTTTTTCTTCTGCGAGTGTTACAGCTTCAGGTCTTAGGTTTAGGTACTTTGCTTTTTAAAAAAAAACTATTTTATGCACATGAGTGTTTTGCCCACATGTATATAAGTGCACCGTTGTAAGGATTGTACTAGCTGGTTAAGGTCCCTGAGATTCCATATCCATGTTCTTCTGTTTTTTTCAAAAGACATCACTGGATTTTGATGAGTGCATTGAATTTGGAGACTGCTTTGAATAGTATTGACTTAACAGTTTTCAGTGTAGAAGTCTTTTTTAAAACAATTCTTAAAATTTCATTTATTAGCCAGGTGTGGTGGCATGTGCCTTTAATCCCAGTACTGGGGAGGTAGAGGCAGGTGTATCTCTGTGAGTTTGAGGCCAGCCTGATCTATATAATGAGTTCCAGGCCAGCTGGAGCTACAGAAAAACCCTGTCTCAATAAGACAAAAAATTTTTATTTTGTGCATATGAATGTATTGCCTGCTTGTGTGTAGGTGCACCTGTGTTGTACAGTGCCCTCAAAGGCCAGAAGAGGGTGTCAGATCCCCTGGAACTGGAGTTAACTGCCACATGGTGCAGGGGATGGAACCCAGGTCCTCTGCAAGAGCATCCAGTGCTCTTAATCACTGAACCATTTTTCCAGACCCTCAGTGTACAAACGTTTTTTATCTCCTTTGAGAAGTTTATTCCTTTTTTGATACTGTTGTCAATGAAATTCTCTTCCTTTTCAGATTGTTAGTGTATAGCAATACAACTGATTTGTCTCTGTTGATTTTGTGTCCTACAGCTTTTTTTGGTTCAACACCTAACCATTTGCGTGTGTGTGTGTGTGTGTGTGTATGTGTAATTTTACTTTCCAATTTGGAAATTTTCTTTTCTTTCTTTGGTGTAATTGCTCTGGCTAGGACTTCCAGTCTGTGAGTAGTCAGAACAGACATCCTTGTATCTGAGGACATGGCAGAGGTGTGTCTAGATGATCTAATTTTCATTTCCTACTTTTTTACAGTGTAAATGTATGCTATTGAGTTGCAGTCATTATTTTCAACATATACATTTACATCTATAAAATTTCCCTCAGCAGTGCTTTTGCTGCACCCAGAAGATAATTCATGTTTCAATGTATTTTGTTTTTCTGATTTTTCTGATACAGTTTTTTTCCAGATTTGTACATTTTTCAGTTTTCCTTCTATTGTAGTTTCATTCTATTTCAATCACTATATTTTTATGTGATTTTTTTCCTTTAAAATTTACTAAGACTTAATTTGTGGCCTAATATGATCTATCATACAGAATGTTCCACATACACTTGAGAAAAGTATATTATGAAGATCTACTCAATCTTGAGATCCTATGAAGCTGTCAATATTCTTGACTGAGTAGATCAAGATATACTCAATCATGATTGAACTCTTTACTGATCTGATCTATCCATTTTTTAAAAATATTTTATTTTTATTTTTATTTTATGTATATGTGTGCAGGTAAGTGCACCCATGTTGTGCAATGCCCTTGGAGGACAGAAGAGGCTGTCTGATCCCCTGGAACTGGAGTTACGGATAGTGGTTAGCTGCCATGTGAGTGCTGGGATTCGAACCTGGATCTTCTGCAAGAACAGTCAGTATTCTTAACCGCTGAGCCATCTCTCCAGCCCCTCTATCCATCATTGAAGTTTACTGTACTGCTACTTACCCTTTCAGGTGTCGGTCTGTTCATTTTTAACTTTATTTTCTTTCTTGGTAGTTTACCGCCCCCCCCTCCTGCCCCGGACTGTTTTTTCTTCTTTTTTTTTAAGACAGGGTATCTGCACAACACGGGTGCACTTACAGACATGCAGGCAATATACTCATATACATAAAATAAAAATAAATTAAAAAAAACAGGGTAGCCCAGGCCTTGGACTCATAGTGATCCTCTTGCCTCAGCCTCTTGGGTATAATGGCTACAGGCATAAGCCACTACATTCAGCTCATGTGGAGGCCAGAAGTCAATGTTGAGTCTCCCTCTATTGCTCTCTGCTCTCCATCGTAGTTCAGACAGGGTCTCTGAACCTGGGAACTGCCATTTCAGGTAGACTGGCTAGCCAGCAAGCCCCAGAGTCACCCGAGGTTACAGGTGCACAGTGGCTTTTTATGTGGGTGCCAGTGATCCAATCGCAGCTCCTTGTAGTTGTATAGCAAGCTCTTTACTCACTGGGCCATCTTGCTAGCCTCACCCCCTTTATAGAGTCTTGCTTTGTAGCCCCACCTGCCCTAAGAATCATGGTAGTCTTCCTGCCTCAGCCTCCCTAGTTCTGGGATTAAAGGTATGTGCTATCACACTCAGCTACCTTTGCCCTTATATAATGTCCCTTTTCTCCTGTAAGTTTTTGATTTATACTATTAGAGATGGCCTTTCTCTGTTGATGTTATTAACAGCCGAGCACTGAGATTGCTTATAGCTTTGGGGGAAATAGACAACATATTCTACATTATTATCCTGAAGCTAGAGATGAAATCGGCTCTGAGAAAGCCTAGCCTTAAATAGGAAAGTCCTGTCTTCTTCAGGGGAGCATGTTGGTTGTAACCAGAGTGTCCTCAGAGGCAACACTGGGAATGAATGAGGTGACCTTCTTAGAAAGGTTTGGACAAGATGAATCAGGAGAGCGAGAGAAGATAAAGCATTTCCTCCCTAAATCCTAAGTTATGACCATGGGTCAGAACAGTTATGAATAAGCTAGTCCCCACCATCAGTCTAAGAAAACTGCCAATGGCCCCGCAGTAGACACAGAGCCTTCCCTCTTCTCTCTTTTAAATATATTGTCTGGCTCCTTTCAGTACAAATACCTGAAATGTAAAAGTGAACCTCATGTGAAGATCGAAGGGAGGAACACTGATGACTGGCTCTGTGTGGATTTTGGTAAGTTACTTTGGCATGTTTGACAGATAAAGATTATTCTTGTTTTCAGCTGCAAAAAGATTGAAATAAAATTGGGATGTGCATTTCCATGTAAGATTTTTGTAATTTGTTTCAAGTAACAAAAGTTTTACTTAATAGCTCAGGTGGTCTTATTCACATGTAAAAGTGTTAACCTAACCAAAGTACTGAGGCAATACTTAACTGTTGGAAGACACACTGTATAGCAAACATGTAACAAGCCTCTGGGATTGGAAGGTTGTATAACAGAATGAGTAACGGTAGACATATATATTAATGTGCCGTAGTTTCAAAACATCTCCCAACCAGATATACTACAAAGAAAAACAACTGTATGCCAAGGGGGTGGGGGCACAGCATCTGAGATTTTTTTATCCTACTTGCAAGACTAACAAGTTGTCTTTCCAATTTCATGAAGAGAAGACTATTCTGGAATTAGACAAAGGACTGTTTATTTCTTAGAGAGCATGGTAAATTTTGCACTAATTCTGAGCCCCAGATCCCGTAAGGAAACCCACAGGCCAGATGATACATGTACAGAGACATGTACCAGACAAGGGTATCTTTTATAATTAGGTGAAGCAGGCCTGCCTTTGCTCTGGAGCAAGGCTGTGAAACCAGTGGTTTCTCAGCTTTGTCGCTCATGTTTTAGATCAGGTATTTTTGTTGTAGGCCTGGGGATTATCTTGTATACTTATAGAACAGGATGCTTAGTAGAATGAGCCTCTTCCCTCTTCAGTCGTGACAATCAAAAATTTATATTGTCCCTGAGAAACATTCCTATAAGCAGAGCTGTTCTTTGCCCTGGGAGTGCACTATCTGATATGGTTATTCACTTTGAAACCTTTGCTCACAAGGTGTGTATGTAGAAAAATGTTACCTTTCTCCCAAGGTATGATAAGGAAACCTGACAGGCCAACTTGTATTCCTTTGGATATGGTTAACAGCCATCAGTAATGTTACATGTTGACATCATTTGCCTCCTGTATGATGAATGTAATAAAAAGGCATGTCACTTTTGTTCCACAACTTGCCCTTCTAAAAAGTCCCAGGTAATAGATGCATTGATAACCACTGTTTTAGTTTGTAGACTTACACAATGCACAAAAAGCAAAGGAATTCTCTTTGTTGAAATTTTTAATCTGTTCCTGATAGGTAGCATGGTGATTCATCTGATGCTTCCAGAGACCAGGGAAACCTATCAATTAGAAAAATTATGGACCCTACGTTCTTATGATGACCAGTTAGCCCAGATACCAGCTGAGACATTACCTGAAGATTTCATTCTTGGAACAGAAGATGATACTTCATCCGTGACTCCAGTGGAGTTCAAATGTGAATAAAAGGAAACTAAGACTGGTTTTTATTATTTCAGATTTGATTGAGTCACTTGGAATATACAGGTCCTAGATCTCACCTCCTCGACTTGGTCTCTGTAAGTCCTGCCTACTTCTTGGGCACTCATGCTGACCACTTTGGGAGACTGTATAGATAAATGAACTAATATGTCAAGAATCAGTACAGTCAACCCCAAACTAAGGTATATTGTCCCAATAGGAGTTCCTGGGGTAGCACTGATTCCTGAGATTAACTCAGACTCTCTGCTCAGAATATTAATTTTGTTTAAATACAAATCTTTAATTTTTTTGATGTGTATGAGTGTATTGCCTGCATGTAGATAAGTGTACCTATGTTGTGCAATGCCCAGAGGTCAAGAGAGTGTTGAATCCCTTGGAACTGGAGTTATAGATAGCCGTTAGCTGCCTGGGTGCTAGGAACTGAACCTGGGTCCTCTGCAAGGGCAGCCAGTACTCTTAACCCCTAAGCCATCTCTCCAGGCCCTAAATACAAATCTTATTTACCATGAACGGCCAATGGAATGGCTTTTGAAAATAGCACAAAAAGGACTGAAGAGATGGCTCAGTGGTTAGCTGCTGAGCACTGGCTGCTTTTCCAGAGGACCCAGGTTTGGTTCCCCGTATCCACCTTTCAGCTAACAACTCTAACTCTGGGACATGTGATGGCCTCTTCTGGCCTCTGTGGGCATTGCATGACACAGCTGTGTTTACATACATGCAGGCAAAATACATCAGGCCCACTACTCAGTCCTATTGCTCTGATTTAGGGCAATGTTAAGTATCAAGGTATTTTTCTAAGGTAGAACTTATATAACCCTTCTAGAATGGCAGAAGTAGTAGGAAAAATTGTGCAACTGTAGTTCTTAATTCATATTCAGCAATATAGTCAAGGTTCACATTAATATACCAGGGGGCAGGAAAATGTGATTTCCTGATAGATATTAGCACTTAGAATGAATTTTTATTACTAAAATCTGTGCAAGTTTGTAGAAAAAAAATCAAGTACACGTATCTGAATACATACTACACAAGCTCCAACTAATGATGAAAAATTTTATTCTGCATCAAGGTATCTGGAAAATGAAGCTGCATTTGGGGCACATGGCAGATGAGAACTGATCCATATATAGTGAATACAAAAACTCAATTAGAGAATTATTCTCAGTACCAGATACTTGAGATCACCAATTCTTAAGTGAAAGTAAAACATGACTTGCCACACTACAAGGCTAGAAGTGAAATATGGCAGAATTGAAACTAGCAGATATAAATGTAGCACCTGTTTTTTTAAAAAAAACAACAAAAAAACACTGGAAAAATCAAATATTGGTGAATACAAAAACTCAATTAGAGAATTATTCTCAGTACCAGATACTTGAGATCACCAATTCTTAAGTGAAAGTAAAACATGACTTGCCACACTACAAGGCTAGAAGTGAAATATGGCAGAATTGAAACTAGCAGATATAAATGTAGCACCTGTTTTTTTAAAAAAAACAACAAAAAAACACTGGAAAAATCAAATATTGAGGAAGAGCTCTGGCTTTAAACACACCTCACCTGAAATCCAAGTGGAAAAACAGTTCATGATATTTTTTAGGTATCTTAAATTCATTGTATGAAAAAATACGAAAGCTAGATGAACTCGGTGGTTTAAAAAAAGGGCACTTTTTGGCTAAAACTACAAAATAAACTGGTTTTCTGAAAATATTTAGGGAAACATTTCAAATCATTTTCAAAATGTCTCAATTACATGCTGATTTTCAGAAACACTTAAGTTTGTGTAGAAATTAATCTTGAAATACAAATGAGGCAACATGATTTTTTTTTCAGGGTCCTATAATGCCCTCTGATCAATGTAATATGACTGTGATCACCTTGTGAACAAAGGCAACAGAAACAATCCAGAGAGCAGCATGGCCTGAAGGACCACCCACACCCAAATACTGAGCCATGCTGGGCTTTGCCACCAAGTTAAGGAAGGCAGAGTTCAGTATCAAGTCAGATGTTTTCACAGTCATTCAAAGTATACTCCCCAAACCATTTCTTGCATTCCCTACCTTTTGACTTACTGTCAAATAACTGTTTGCTGGGTAGACAGAAATCCTGCTACATTCTATGTAATTCATCCGTTGCTTAAAAATCTTCAAAATAGCTTAGTGAAGCTCATAAAAGTGCCAGGCACAAAGAGATGTCACTTTCTGTTGCCTTGAAACACTTGTCACCATCTGACTGTACCCCTGGTCTTCATAAAGCAACTGTAATTCTTTAGGAGTCTGCTCAGAGTGTTAACCAACTGGTCTAAAGTCTACTGGCACTAAGCTCCTGTAAGACAAATTCAAGCCTGCTTTTTTGTTTAAATCCTGCATTTCTTTACTGATGTGCTTTCTTTAGGTAGTGACAGTCAAAAGCACAAAACATTTATGCAATCAAGCACACAGTTAAACAAAAATCTCCAAGTCTTCTGAAGGCTTTTTTTATACTAGCCATTCCAAAACTTCCTGCCACCCCTGTTCTGTTAGTACCATCAAAAACCTTCCCAACTACAAAGGAACAAATAGTATTGCTGCTCTCCAAATATAGGCACTGCTCTATATCTTTGAACATTTACTGAATTTTCCAACTATTCACTGTCAAAAGCCTCAAAAAATGCAAAATTAATTTTCCAGCTTTACAGTGTCACCAGCCAGAAGTAAAATTCCTTTCTCAATTACTTGCCTATTAGCTGATCGCTGTTACATTTATTTTTTTAAAAACGGTTGGATTTTCTTTATAAAGTATATAAAACTTTCAAAAAAGGAACAATTTTGCTTTTCACTGTATTACTGAATGCCTGAGGTAGTTGAGTAAATATGCACGTGTAATACCCCTGCCAACACCAGTCAGCGCTTCCCTTAGTTATCATGTTAGTGTTAGATAAAAATACAAGTTTCTTTACTCTAATGGCTTAGCATTTAAGTTCCTATGATAATTCTATTCTGATCCAATCTCAACAATTGGATTCAGGAACAATCTATTTTTTAATTTATTTGATGAATTTAGTGAATGCGCCATTTAAGCCAATTTCTGGCATTATGGGGGACTATTAAGCAAAATTAGAATATCTGTTATACTTTGATATCACAACACAGGAAGTGCAGAGCCCTTCTCTTTCTCTCCCTCCCTTCCCCCTAATTTTTTTTAAAGCTGGGTGTCATACATTTCAGAGAGCATAAAGTATACATTCTCACAGAGACAGGAGTTCAAAAGTTGCCTGGTCCTCAGAAACAACTGGCTAGGTAAAAACTTGTGCATGTTATTCTGGATAGGGTCAGCACCCATCTGTTGGTTAAGCAAATCTGTCTTTGGTTTGGCATCTGCCTCTGTGGTGGCTGTTTCCTGAGCCTTTACTTCCGCCTTGACTGAGGTGGTCCACTTTGCAGAGCCTTCTGCTGTTGGTGCTGCTTTACCTGAGTCAGAATTTCCTGAATTTTTCTCTGGGCAACCTACAAAAAGACAGAGCTTTAAAGAATCTGTATGATCCAAATTTACTACAAGATACTTTTTACTCTTCCATTTTAATACCATCAAATAGAAATCCATGAGCTATATACTTATCAGTGTATACCAGTAGTTTGATCAGCTGCTCAAAGGGATACCAGTCAGGCAGTTAGTCCCAGCTACATCAGAAGCTGGAGGCCAGCCTGGGCCATCTAGCAGGACCCCCACAAACACTTTCATTGCTAGGCATCCAATAGCCTTACATATTTATAGAGAGTAGGAACACCTATAAGAGGATTGCTTTCATCTGAGACAGAAGCCAGAGAACTTATTTTAGAAGCCACTTGCCTGGCAAGCATAGAAGTGGCCAGTTATTTTGACAACAACTTGGTCGTTTTCGTCAGGTGTCTGGTCACGGGGGACAACAACTTCAGCACTTGATAAATTCTGGAGTTCATTCACCTGAAATTGATAAAGAAACACCATATTAAATGGCACTAAAAATATTTCCTGAGCATTTACTATATGCCAAACAGTTTTGGCTTTACAAATTTCATTTACTCCACTACTAATTTTATGAATTATTGTCCCATTTTAAGATAATTAGAACTAAAGGCTCAGACAAAGCAATGCATTTGTCCACTTACAGATGTGAAAGGCAAAGCCAGACTCAGGTCCTGATGGTCTGCTTTCTGTGTGCGTACTACATTACTTCAAGGTTATAAATAAATCTAGAAATGACTCAGTCATTTAAGAAAGACTGGAAATTACTTTTTCAGTTAAATATTTTCAATTTTCAGTTCCTGTCTCTTAGGGTTTATATAATAAAAAATTTAAAGTTAACGTGAGCAGGAGAGTGCTGAATGCCCCTTACAAATTTGGTCTTAAATATGCAGCAAGTTTTACTAGCAGCTGAGGTCAACAAGGAAATCTTTAAACCTTGGTCAAGATGATCCTGCCCTTTTTAAAAAAATATTTATTATTTTTATTTTATGTATATGAGTGTATTGCCTGCATGTATGTGAGTGTACCCGTGTTGTGCAATGCCCCAGAGGTCAGAAGAGGGCTTCAGATTCCCCTGGAACTGGAGTTGAGGACGGTTAGTAGCCACCATGTATAAATTAGCCAAATCCGAGGACTCGGAACTCATAAGTCCCTTCAGTGCTTCCCCTCCCATACCACTGCACAGATTTTGCTTGAGTACTTGCCGTTTTGCCTCCTTTCCCAATAACTCTGCCAGCAGCAAAGGATGGGACTCTGATATGCGCTTCAAGTTTTACCTCTTCTTTAGGACTGACGAAGTTTTCTTCTTTAATTTTTCCATAAATTCTTCCCTGAGCCTATACAATATATCCTATTAGTATTCATATGTGAAACAAAAGTCAATTCATCTTAAAGACAACTTAAATCAGCCTGGAATATCCATTGCAGCCTTTGGAAGACTTGACAACAGCATCAGAGACAGTAGCTAGGAGCTCTGGAGAGAGTGACAATCACTGTGTGTTATAAAAGGCAAAGGATAAACCAAAGAGCAACATTCTATGATATATAACAAAATACCAGTAAACCAACTAAGAAAAAAAAAAGAATGAGCCATATTCTGCTGAAAATAAAGGTAATTAACAGTAAGACTAACTAAAATAAATTTTATGGAAGCTGGAAAGATGGCTCAGTGGTTTAAGAGCATTGACTGCTCTTGCAGAGGATTCAGGTTCGATTCCCAGCACCCACATGGCAGTTAACAACCATCCATAACTCCAATGCCTAGGGTATCCAACACCTGATCTCTGTAGGCATTGCACAAAACG